TGCTCTGCAGATTCTTGCGCAAGAATGGCCATGCTTGCACAAGAAGCCGCGAGTGTAGACATAGACCACCAGTCCAAGTACTTGGGCCTGTGCTCAGGGCTAGGCAGCAACAGTTCAGGTACTCAGGCCTATGCTCGCGCTGACTAACAGTCAGGATGCCCAGGCCCTAGCTCAGGGTGGGCGGCAAGAGTTCAGATGCATGGGCCTGTGCTCAAGCAGTAATGATTTGGCTTTGTCCAACAGGGTGTTTTTGGAAGGTCTTCCCCTTCCAGGTGAGAGTGAGGCCAAATGGCCTCACTACGCTTCCTATTGCTGACAACAAAACATTCTGAGTAATTTTTCATGTCATGTATAAATGCATTTTTAAATACAAAGTTTGAGGCGCTTGTGTGCCACACAACTTCAGAGCTATTCCTGAAGAATGCTATTTACTGCTGCATCACTGGCTAAATGGAGCCCTGAACAACATTAAAAAGGAAATAAGCATGTTACATAGGAGTTATGGTATCAATACACTGCAAGGGCCAGGGTTGACAGTTTTGGCTCGGAGCTGATATAGGAGGCGTAGGGCATATGAACAGCATCATGAGATCATCAGCTTGGTAGATCTGAAACTGACAGGGATGAAAACATTAAAATTGCTGTTCATGTTTGGTGCTGTTTCTTGCATTGCAGTCAGAGCAGAGGCTGGGAGAGGAGGGGCTGACTGACCATCCTTTCCTCTCAGAATGATGTGGCAACAGAGGGGCCCCTTGCAGGAACCGACAGCTGTGAGGTCCTATGCTTTTTGGAGTAGGAAACTGAGTTCTAGCCCCACCATGACCTTGAATCAATACCTACTTTTGTAAGAGAAAATTCTTTCTGCAGGACAGATGGCTATTTCATCCCACTGAAAACCATGACAGATAGGTTTTGTTCAAACCTCTATACATTTTAAAACTGCATTTACACTTGCTAAACAAGAACTATGTCTGGGACGGACCTGTCTCCCTCTCTTTTTTCATCTTCTCAAACTCGGGCTGCTGAGCTGCTGAGGGGCTTCTGGGGAACCGGTACCCAATTCAGGAACGGGACCTCCTCATTTCCTGGGGGTTTATTCTTTTTAACTTAGTTTTCTACTGGTCAGAAAACATCATGCTGCTCCCCACAGAGGAAACGGGAGTTTAATTCCTTTTGGTTGAAAAATTAAAGTCGTGGTCACTACAGGTCCCATAACACAACAGCCATGCTGAAGCGATCCGTGCCTGCAGGGGAAAGGGACAAGAGGGGCAGAGTGAGGGCACCCTGCTTCAGCAATTAAAATCTATGAGGGCACGTGACTCACCATGGGGAGCACATGTCCCACATGTATCACTTGATTGTACACTGGACTGGGAGTCTGAAATGCTGAACTTCCTTAGGCAGGACACTTTCTCTCTCAGTGCCTCCATTTCCCCATTGAGATGCAAAGAAGGGGGACAATACTACTTTTCCCACTTTGTAAAATCTGTTAGGGTTATGACTGAAAAGTGCCCTCTACAAGTGCCGTGTTCTTAGCAGCACTTTTTTAAAGAGTAGCAATGCTAATCTCTGCCACCCTGGCAATACTGCAGCTCAGATATTTACATTCTGCCCAAGTAATACTCTTGTTTTACCTGGTGTTGCTTGCCCTTCCATTCTGAAACTGCAGTCTGCTTTGCTATTTTCTCATAAATAGTTGTCATGTCCCCTCCCCCCACCCCAAAGTGATTGCATTTCAGTGGTACGCATTGGTAGTTACTTTTATACACTATTATGTGGTTTACAGTAAAGTGCTCTGGGGATGAAAAATATGACAGCATTTTTAAGACGCCGTCATGAATTGGCTAGTGCACTGTCCCCTACAGATCAAAGCAGGACAGCTCAGCTATATGTTACAAACCCTATACCTCCAGCTCTTCATAGAGATCCCTTAGCTTAAGTGGTAATATCCTATGCTTCTGGATATCCCATGGCTCTGGATTTTATCCACACTGGCACTATTAAGTGCCAAGTGGCCACAATGTGCAGCAGAATGGCAATGATTTTTACCTTTTCTTTTTCAAAGGGATTTTCTTCTTCCTAGCTGGAGCTCTGAGCATGCCTTTCTGCTTTACAATCCCACTCTCTGGATCCCACATTACAGCCACCACCTACCAGCACAACAGGATTGGGTTGTGGCGCCTGAACAGCACTGAAACCCAGGTGTGAAGCTGGCTGAGTTCCAGGTAGCTGGTGTGCACAGAGACTGAGAATCTATATATATCCTCCTGCAAAAAGATTTGCCTTTCCTGTCCAGTCTTTTTATCTTGTATTCAGAGAACTTCCTAGTACTGGCAGCAGGACAGGGAAGTAGCCAGGACACTTTCCCATTAAGCTGGATATAACCTTTATCTGTTTGCAGTTTTGACATTTCATAAAAATGGCTGTACTGGGTCAGACCAATGGTACATTCTAGCCCAATATCCTGTCTTCCGGCAGTGGCAGATGCTTTAGAGCGAATGAGCAGAACAAGGCAATTATCACTTGACCCATTCCATGTCATCCAATCCCAGCTTCTGACAGTCAGAGGTATTAGATGCACTCAGAGGACAGAGTTGATGGACCTTTCCTCCATGAGTTTATCTAATTCTTTTTTGAACTAGGAAGGATAATTTTTGATTAATTAACTAACTGGGTAATTGATGGAATTTCAAATCGACTACTCGATTAGTCGATAAGGGGTGGGGCAGAGTGGGGTACTTGCTACATTTCAAAGGGAGAGGCGGTGCAGGGAATGTGGGGTGAGTGGGGACTCAAGCAGTCATTTCAAAGGGAGAAGCACAGCAGTTGGACCTGCGGCCAGTCCCTGCTTGTGCCATATCCCCTCTGCACCTCTATTTTCCCTAGCCCCTTCCATGGAGACAATGCTGGGGGGAACTGGCTTTTAAGCTGGCTCTCCCCAGCACTGACTGCTGTTCCCCCCTTGCTGCCTCTCTTCGATGGAGGGAGCAGCTAGTCAAGTTACTACTCAACTATCCAATAAGCATAAACTTATCGAATAGTCGAATAGTCACTTACATCCCTATTTTGAACAGCTATAGTTTTGGCTTTCACAACATTCCCTGGTTATGAGCCCCACAGGCTGACTGAGCAGTGTGTGAAGTATCTGCTTTTGTTTTAAACCTGCTGTCTATTCATTTTATTGGGTAACCCCTGGTTCTTCTGTTATGTGAAAGAGTAAATAACATTTTCTTATTCACCTTCTCTACACCAGCCATGATTTTATAGACCTCTACCATATCTTCCTCAAACTTCACATATTTGTTTCCTGCGATCTTTGTCATTACCTGCCTTCATTGTCGGTGTCATTTCTTGTGATTGTCCAATGCAGGGGTGAATCTGGCCCTCTGCTTAATTTGATCCTGCCCATAGTAAGTCTCTGTGCCAGTGGCCAGAAGCCCTGAGCCTTGGCACCCCTGCGCTTGGCTTGAGCACCTCCATGAGCTGCCGTCCCCCATGCTGAGTTGGAGACATGTCACCCTGAGTGCCAGAGGAAGACATCCCATTCCCATGCTGACCTTGCCTGTGGGCTCTACCCCTGCAGCTCCCATTGGCCAGGAAGCTGCGGGGGTGATGCCTGCAGGTGAGCATACAGCAATATGGGCCTGAGCTCCCTCCCACACCCTAACTCCCTCCCATATCCTGAAATCCCACCCCAACCCTGAGCACCTCCCTCCCCAACTGCAACCCCGTCTTGAGTCCCCTTCTGCACCCTGCATCCCTAACTCCCTCCTAGACCCTGCATCCTGAGCCCCGTCCCACACCCTAACTCCCTCCTAGACACCATACCACAACCTCCTGTACGCCAATCCTTTGGCGGCAGCGCAAACCGCCTCCTGAACCCCAAACATCTCATCCCCAGCCCCACACCCATAATCAGAGCCCTGCCTCAACCCGCAGGCTCTTCCCGTACTCTGAACTCCTCATTTTTAGCCTCGTTCCAAAGCTAATACCACCCTGACTACAAGTGAGTGACGGTTTTTTGTGCTTGTTTTCGCTTGTGTGTGGCTCCCAAGTGATTTTTCTGTGGGTCAGTGGCTCCAGAAAAGAGGATCCCTGTCCCTAGTCGAATGGAGGATACAATCCTATTCCCATTAACTTCAAAGAGTATAGACTCTTTGGCCCAGACGTGGGGAAAAAAGTTTTCTCCCCTTGCCAGGGGCCCCCTTTCAACTCATGGGTCCTGGTCACCAGTCCCAACGGCTCTGCTGCAGGCCCCAGGACCCCGTCAGTTCAGTGAAAAGCATTTCCGGAAAATCATGCCAATCTAGACACAGCCCCAGGTGTATCTGGCACCCTGCTGAGTCTGGGAGGAGGTGCATGGTGGGCAACATCAGCACATTGTGAGGGAGGAATAGGACCCAGGTGACCCAGGTAAGGATTTAAGCGAGTAGCTGAGTACTTGACTACCCGATAAGCCTAAACTACATGAGGGGGGAGTTGGGGGGGACCTGGCTTAAAAGCTGGTTTCCCCCCAGCACTGTCTCTGCAGAGCCACCTCCCTCGCCTCTCTCAGAGGTAGCACGGAGGAAAGGGGAGGCTGTTGCGAAGCAGCCTCTGCCTATGTGCGGCAGCAGCCCCTGTTTGCATAGGGGCCCAATGGGGAGCTGCCCCCAACGCCCCGGCACAGGGACTGCTGCTAGCCCGGGCTGCCATGAATAGGGGCTGCTGGACCCGGCTCACGCCGGTCTGAGATGGCTGCGGCGCTGCACTTCATATGCGAGAGCGGTGCGGCTCCTGCTCCATTTAAAGCAGGGGGCCGAGTAGCTGGTGTGGTGGGTACAAACTGTATCGACTTCACTAGCTGATTCGTCAGTTTCCCTCCTCGGGACGCCTCAGCCCCAGGCGGGCTGGCAGGGCACGGGCCCTGTTCCAGCGGCCGGGAAGGGGGAGGGGGAGGGGCTGTCTCGCCTCCCGAGCGGCGCTCACCCCTCTCGCTTCTTCTCCGCACTGCCTCCAGCGGTGTCCGGCCCTGCCCGGAGAGGCGGGGCCCTCGCAAACATGGCGTCTGAAAGGCTGACCCTCCCTTCACAGGGCGGCGGGCTAGAGGCGCTGGCGCTGGGGCCCCTCACAAACATGGCGGCAGTGTGGAGGTTTGCCCCTCACAAACATGGCAGCTCGGGGTTTCTTCCCCCGACAGCATGTTCGTACGTGGCCCAGAGCAGGAAGGGGGTTGCGCGCATGCGCAGTCGGGACAAAACGGTGGAAGATGGGTAAGAAGCGAGAGGGGCTGAGCGTTGCTCTAGAGGTGAGCGGCCCCTCCCCTCCCCGAGCGGGGTCAGGGCAGGCCCGGCGGGGGGGCGGGCTGGTACGCGTAAGGGAAATGTCTCCCGCGCGCTTGGCTGCGAGGCTGGCCAGGCCTCTGGGACCCCTCTGCTTTGTACAAGGGCTGCTCTGGCTGGGGGCCGGGCCCCCCACTGCGAGCAGCCCCTGCCTGCGGTGGGCCCCATGGGGCTGGAGCAGCCTGCTGCCCCAGGGAAGAGGGATGAGGAGCTGCTCCAGCCCCTACCAGTTAACTGGAAGCAATTAACAACTTACATCCCTAGGGGGAGGCAGAGTTAGCAAATGCTCTTGGGGAATGAGATTCAAAATCAATCTCTTCCTAATGAATGGAAGAAATAGGCCAGAAACAATCACATGTGATTTGGCAGGAATAAATGGGAAGTGGAGATGTAATCCAGTGAACTCATTCAAAACCGAGAAATACGGGTGGGGCAAAAATTAAAAAAAAACCCTGAATCCTAAAAAGCAAGTGTTTTATAGATCTCTTTTTATAGAATGAGTGCATGTGGTAGTTCTGCTCTTTTTAGGCCTCTACTGGAGAGGGCAGTCATTTGTGGACATCATCTTTCACTGATAAAGTGCTCAGAAAAGAACACTCCTTAATGAAAAAAGATTTGGACTATATAAGAGCTGGGGGAGAGGATTCAGAGAATTGAGAATGTTTGATTAGAGATAGTAGTTGCTTCAGCCTTTGTGAACTCACATTATACATATGACATGGCTTGATTATACCATCTGATCAGAGATAAAGAGGTATCAGGGCTTTAATTGCAGCTGGGAATTCTGGTTGCTAATCAAATTCCCTGAGCACCAACAGCTGGTGAAATTAGCAAGGATCTGGTTAGTTTCATGAGCACTGTTCAGAATCAGGTAGTAGTAGTTCAACTCAACTGTTGGTCTTAACTTTCCATATCAGGAGCTAATGATGTGGGGAAGAAAGGACCTCCACTAATGGTGAATAGGTGGATGCCTGCTGCCCTCATACCCATAACTGCAGATATGGGAATGAGAGCAATAGAGTTGAGTACCCAAATAACAATCAGGAGCCTATAAGGTGAAGGACTGAGAGAGAGCTACTGAACAAAAGATGAAGTCCCTAGGAGGGGCCTGGGAAAATCAAGAACTCAATGTGTCTGGACCCTCTTTATTGACGGAAGTTTTGTCGACAGTATCTGTCGACAAAACTTCCGTCGACAAAACGCGGTAGTCTAGACGTACCCTAAGCTGTGATTGCTATGGACGGAATCGCCACCAGGGCACCAGTGCTTTTCCCTCTTTCCTCTTCTTCCGAAAGAGCTCCCTTTTCCCCATCCACACACGCCTTTTTGCAAAAGAGCTCTTTTGCAAAAAGACTTCTTCCTCGTAGAATGAGGATTACCAATGCCAGAAAAACCCCTCTGTTCTTTCGATTTTCTTGTGGAAGAACACAATTGCAGTGTGGATGTTCCTCAAGTTTTGTCAGAAAAACGGCTGTTTTTCCGACAAAACTCTGTAGTGTAGATATGCCCTCTCTCAGGAATCTTAGTACTCTCCCTTTGCAGTGTTTGGAGTTGCTAGTGAGTGACTGAGCTGGTGGATTCTCCTTCATTCTGGTGTATTGGCCTCTGACTAGTAGATGTCTAGTAAATGTTTTCAGCTCTGCTGTCTATAGTTGATGAAATTATTTGCTGATTTGTAAAATTGTTATAAGAGCACAGTGAAAATTGAAATAGGTCCATTAGCCAAGAGGTTAGCATGTGAATCTAAGCAAATTCAATCTCTGCTGAGCTGATATTAGTAATCCATCCCAAAACAATGACTAATAAATGGAGAGAGATGCCTTGAACCTGCTAGCAGATGACAAGGCTGCTTCTGGGAGGCGATTTCCCTCCAATGTTTTTGTTTGGCTTTGATCTGTTTAATGAGGGTCATGAGACAAAAATCTCATTACCTAACACTGTTGGATGTTGGCGTATGTGTGATATGGCTGTTTGCCAGGTTCTTAATTAGGGGATTCATAAAGGCAGAGGGCAGATGTCAGTTCTTGAAAAGTGCTTTTAGCCTTTCTGCTAGGAAGAACGCTTTTATTAATTCAGTACAAAATGTATTAAAAAAAGGATGCAACTCAACTCTGTAAGCAAGGCTGCCTCTTTCCTTTTCTGCCATGCACAAAATGTTTGGACTCTCTTCCCAAGACTGTCTGGGCAAATGAGATTTGTAACATACACAAGTCCATTTGGACTGAATCTGCCCCAAATCTGTGTTTTCAGAGGCCTCCAGATGGCACATGTATGAAGCCAGATTTCAGTGAAAATAATGGTGCCTGGTGGTATGTCTCATGGCAAGGGATTCAGCTGGCTTCAGAATGTTCTGCAGTTTGCTTATCCTGGGCAAAACCACTGGTCTCCCATCCCAGAGTTCCTTTCATAGTGGGTGTGCAGATGAATAGGCAGCTATGTGTGCTCTGATGGTTCTTGTCAGTGCTGGATATTAAACACCTGCTTCAGTTCTTTATAATGAAACTGCTACTAATTAGAGATGATGCTGATTTGAATGAAGTCCTCTATTTGGCTATGGAGCAAGTAGAGCTCAGACAGTTATAATGTATACATGTGGAAGCTTGAAAGCCCAGTCTGGAAGGGACACTATGGGCCATAGGGAGCTGAAGGAAGGAGTTTGGTCACTGTGACCCATTCACTTCTTGGCTTAGGCTGCCAGTAGGAAAATTAATTGGTGTGAAATGTATTTATGATTTTGTGTTCCACTAGGAGCCTGGCCCAAGAGCAGCTCCCCCCTCAAAACCCTAATAGTCTCATTTAATACAGGTCTCTGATAAGACTAAGTTTGTACCCTAGCTAATCTGTGTTTGTTAGGAATGAATGCTTTCCATCTACAGCAACTTCAAGCACACAGCTGTTCCTAGGAGAGCTCTGTGGAGAGCTGCCCCTGGTGATTTTGTGAAAGATTTACAGTTTCTCGGGTTTTACAGTACACAGGACCATTGGGAGATTCCCTGGCAGCCAGTGATAATTCTCAAATGAATTGCTGATTTCTTCCCCAGCACTTACCATATTTTTCTTTTCTTTTTCTGGCAGCAGAGGGCTGTGAATACTATGCAGCCAGTGAGAAATACACATGTGGAGGGCCAGTTTCCAAGTCAAAAATCCCAAATGAGGCGATGGAGCTGCCCTACCAGGGTACATGAGGCCTTCTGCCCATTTCTAGTGCCATTCCCCTAAAGATCTCCAAGCACTCTGCAAACAGTTATCCCTTCTAATCCCCCCAGCCTCAGTGATAAAGCTCTTAGTGCCCCAATTGGCAGATATTATCACCTACCTCCAATGAGTCAGTGTTAGGTGCAAGAACAGAACCTAGGAATTCTGAATTCAGTTGCTACTGATGTCCATTAATGAGGCAGAACAGCCAGGGAAAAGAAACAGAATTCTAGAGGAAAGGACGTTGTTCCATTAGCAGTAATGTTCCCGATTCTCTGTGTTTTTAATGGAGATTTTCACCTGTGTGCGCCCCCAGCCTCAACAAAAGTGTCAGCACAATTCTGGGAAATAGGGGGTTTTGTGACATGCTTCTGCCACACCAATAGGGATGCCCAACTTTGATTCTGACAAAATGAAGTGAAATAGTTGTAATTTTTAAAACATACTTAAGAACCTGGAGGAATATAGTTGTTAAAAGTCAACATGTGAGGGAGTGTGGGACAAAATAAACTCTAATTAAATCAGATTAAATGGTGAGTGAAGAGTGTGCTGAGACCAAACAAAATGAGGTGCATCCTTAAGGAAGAGCCAGTAGTTGGTGGCTCTAAGAGGGGGATGGAGAGCCCAGGAGGGAAAAGATACTGGGGAGGAGCGCTGGCCATGACTAAGACACCTGCCAGTTAACTGGTTTATCATGTGGGGTTGTCTATCAAACTAAGGGAGAAGTTGAATGTGGTGGCTGTCATGTGTTACAACTGTTCTGGTGAGGCTAGGCTAGTGGTTCTCACAACAAAATTTTTGGTGGCCTCCAAGAACGTCCATCAACTCTTGCTGGTGGCTGCTTTGACAGTTTCTCCTAAATACTTAATTAACTTTAAAAAAAAACCTAATAAGCGCGCACACATACATGTCCACATGGTAATTTATGTAGGGTTTGGGTTGTTTTTTGCAGACTCAGTCATAAAACTGTAGATCTCTCTGTCCTTTATCAGACCTAAATAGAATAAAACCACAAATAAGGTGCTTTGCATGTTCTGGTGTTTGTGTTGTTTCTTTTGCTTTTTTTTTTTTTTTTTTAAACTTGCTAACTAGTAATTCTGCTGCTGTGAAAAGTGATACTTGTATGTTAACATCACTTTTCACAGCTTCCCAGCTAGCTAATAAGTCTGCTGTGAACAGTGATATTAATAAACAAATACCCATTTTCACAGTGGTTTTGCTCAACCCTAGCAAACCCAAGGACAAATTAAGTCCTAGGTAGGTAGGAAGGAAACGGGTGAAGGGCAGTGAGGGATTGTGAGCCTGGAGGGTGTAGCCCAAAGCCCCAGGGCTGAAGTCCAACCCCAGCACCTCTGAGAATGTGATGAGCTCGCTGGCTTCTTGCTCCTCTAGTGTTTGTGTCTCCAGAGGAGGGTCCGGTGCTTTGCCTCTCCCATCCCCCAAGCATGGCCATTGTGTGCTTGCGGGGAGCAGAGTGAGAGAACTGTTAATTAGTCTAGGACTGAGCTGTAAGTGGTTAATCAGAGATCAGTGCCATTGATTTTCCTGTATAATGATTGGTGGTAACATGCTTTCTTTCTTGCTACCTTGGAAGATGAGGAGGTAGTCTTTGAAAGCCAAGGGGATTTGGGTTTAATTCCAGCAGGTTAATTGACACAGAACTCTGCTGTTCCTTGGCTCCAGGTTCAGAAGTATCTCACCAGGCAAGTTCCAGTTGTGACAGCTTGTCCCTCTTGGTCCTGCTACTTCAGCCTGCTGCTCATGCACAGCACAGAGTGGAGTGGAAAATGGTTGAAATGGGGCTAGTAATAATTTCAGAGCTTGTTAATGTCAAAGGCCATGTTCTTGCTGGGGTTTGGGTGTCACCTTGTCTAATTATCCCTGAAGTTTTCCCCTGGGCTATGTCTACACTGGCCCCTTTTCCAGAAGGGGCATGTTAATTTCAGAAGCCGTAATAGGGAAATCCCCCGCGGCATTTAAATAAAAATGTCCGCCGCTTTTTTCCGGCTTTTAAAAAAGCCGGAAAAGAGCGTCTACACTGGCCCCGATCCTCCGGAAAAAAAGCCCTTTTCCGGAGGATCTTATTCTTCAAAGTAGGAATAAGATCCTCCGGAAAAGGGCTTTTTTTCCGGAGGATCGGGGCCAGTGTAGACGCTCTTTTCCGGCTTTTTTAAAAGCCGGAAAAAAGCGGCGGACATTTTTATTTAAATGCCGCGGGGGATATTTAAATCCCCCGTGGATTTCCCTATTACGGCTTCTGAAATTAACATGCCCCTTCCGGAAAAGGGGCCAGTGTAGACGTAGCCCTGGAGTGTAAGCCAGAGCTTTCCCACCAGAAAGCTTAAAGCCCTGGGTTGCTGAGTTTGGCATATCTGGGATTCCCATTATAATTCATTCCTGGAGGAATTCTTCCCCAACATATGCATATTGGTTGCCTCTGTTAGGACTCTCCTCTCCTCACCCCAGAAGAAAGGCAACTTCTTGGACAATAATGTAACTTGCTAATTGGGTAACTTGCTTAAGTTGCTGTGGTAACTTGCTATACCATGACTGAACCCATCATGCAGCCAAGCCAAAGTGCTCCATGCTCTCTTGTTTTCCCCTAGCATGCTTGTTCCTCTTTGCAGCATTAATTCGGGGCTGAATAATTCCCTGAAATTCTTGCCCAAGGTGAACAGTCTCTCCACTTGATCCCCTTCCTCACTGTGCAAACCTCCATTAGGTCACTTCCAGCCCCAGCCTTACAGCAAGGCAATTGTCTTGGGCCCCACAGTCCAGCACCTCCCCGCCTGGCCACTTGCTCACTGCCCTTGGCTGGGAACCACCTGACTGTGCCGCACAGCCAACTGCAGCGTGCGGCCTTGCATCTCGCAAACTCTTTGGCCGGGGCTGGTCACTTCTCTGCCTGCTCAGGCCATGAGGTCAGAGAGCCTCATGAAACCCATAGCTCATGTGATTTTTAGGAGTGAGGTGGCAAGTCACAACAGTGCAGCTGCCACCCCTTCTCTGAGGGGGGAAGGCCGGAGCTGCAGAGGGAAGTAAGATGCCAGTGATTGTTGTGGCGGCTGCTGTATTTCAGATTGATGGCCTGGAGGAGAAGCTGTCCCTCTGCAGAGAAAGCATGGAGGAGATGGACCTTAAGCTGCGCAGAGAGGAGCTCAGTCCTGAAGGAAGGTACTAGTCATTTCTCCTTTACTTGGATACGGATAGTGATGCTGCAAGCTGCTGTGTGCTCTCGCAAACCACCGACTGTCAGCTTTGTTGGGAGTACCCAGTAAAATCTCTGTTTCCAGATCAGGAATTTACTGGGGTTGCCAGGCTGGGCCCCCAATGTGGAGCTTGTTTAGGGACGGAGAGAACTGTGTTTTTCTCTTCCAGGGAGGCAGAGGTTGACATGGTGAGAATGCTGAACTTGGCTTCAGCTTTCCTGTTTGCAAACCCTCTGTATATGCAGCCTAAGCCGTGCCCAGTCCTCATGTTTGATTCCAGAGTTTGGACCCCAGCACTGACAGGAGACAGCTGTATGAACTGGACGGATATTCTGGCCAGTAGTACGCAACTGATGGTGCCTAGAACACCTAAGCTGAGAGAGATACAGGAACTAGTGTGTGCTGAATAGTCAAGGCCACCCAAGCCAAATGCTAAGTGGAATCCACTCAGAGTAATCCCAAGGGGACTGAAGTTTGACTCTGTTCACACAGCCACCATGACTGTTGCAACAGGGATCCTGGTGGTAGCCTAGAGTGCACCAAATGTCTTGCAACAGTGCACTGAGGTGTTCAGTTTCCATTTCCACTCGGATGGAACCTTGCTGTAATGCGGTCCTCTAACGCTAGTACTGTAATGCCTTAGGCAGAGCCTTACCCTGAATGTGATCACCCAGGCCTTAGGCATGGCCCTGCTGAGACTCATTTCTACCATTTGTTAGCATCCTATTGCTCCCCTCCTAACAGAAACTGAGCCATCAAGTCTAAGCACAGGAAGCGAGCAGCCTGCCAACTAGATCCTGTCAGCCCAATGTTGTATATGCCCTGTTCAGTTTTAAGTGTCCCAACCAACGTGGTTTTTACCATTTTTCATGAGAAACTCTTCCAGTTTCTCAGACTTGCCAGTAAGTTCTTCTATTCTCCCTTGTTTCTGAACTTGTTTTTCTCCCCATAACTTCTCTCCCTCCCCCCTGTGGGTTACCATACTCCACTTTCTCTCCTTTTTCAGAGAGTCCTCTCACAAAGCGCTTTCTTGTATGTCACCTCACCCAGCCCTTCTTTGTCCTTCTCAAGGTTAGTTAGTCTCTTTCTGTTAAAGTGTCCAGAAGATCCAGTTTTACATTTCTCCTGCCCTCATTCAGTGTATTACCACTTACCATTCCCCTGAGTGCAAACCTTTGGCCAGCTCCCAATCCATGTCATAAGGCTGCTGTCCTTAGGATGGATTTGTTAGGAGAGGTGCCCAGGTCTGTGACATTCACTCAGTGTTTCTGCCAAGAATGTGACCAACCTTGGCTGCTTGTGCTTCTGCTAACGTCCACATTTTTCATTGTGTGTGTCCCACGAAGGAAGCTATTGACTTGGTGAACCTGAATCACTGGGATTGGTCTGTTTTCCAGTGTAGCTCTCCTCACCTTCCAAGTAAAGCCCGTTTGGATTCATAGTAAGTTTACTGTCTTGTTGCGTGGGTTTCGTGCCCTTCAGTCCTGTGGAGCTGCATGTGTTCGGTTTTCCCATGCATTTTAAACAGTCCCAGTTCCTTCCCAAAGCATGAGAGCCCCTTGATTTCTCTAGTGATATAGCGGCTCAACTACTTCAGAATCAGGCAGTTTAGTGTCTCTTCTCCTTGGATGGGCTGCATGCTGCATTTCCTTTTCCCCAAATGTATTTGAGTCCTTTTCCTTCTCCTGCTAGTAATGCACCCTATCTTCTGACAGTCCTTCTCTCTTCCTTTAGCTAACTGCACAGTAAGGCTTGGGTCCACCTGTACTACACTTGCTTCACCCTAAAGTGGAACAAACAGGCCTATGACAGTACCCCAGAGCCTGCCTGGTGCAGGGAGATACACAACAAATTATCTATCTCTGTTTCCACCCTGCCCTCCTTCGAGCTGCAGCAGTTTTCAGGCTTTTAAATTGTGGATTAATCAATCATTGTGGAGCTGAAGATGCAGGGTTTTCAGTCATCTTAAATTCTGTGAGATACAACTGTTTACTGGCTCTCCTTGCAATCACATTCAGGTCCTTTGCCAGAGCCCATTGAGGAGTTTGTGCGCAATGGTGCTTTGGAAACAGGAGGGGGGAATTTTTCTTCAATCTTTGGCTCTGAAATGTGGGAACAAGATGGGAACTGTGATCTGGGCAGAGTCAAGGACTGGGGGCTTCTCTTCCAGACTCTGCACCAAGGGTATGTAATAGATGGAGATGGTTTGTCAGGGTTAGCCTCTGGCAGGCTGCCGCTGTTTTTACCTGCAACTCTGTGGGTATCAGGGCTTGCAGCTCCCATTGCCTGCGGATCACCATTCCTGGCCAGTTGGGGCTGCGGGAAGTGGTGTTGCGGTATGCGGAGCTGCAAGCCCCCATACCCGTGAAGGTTCAGGTAAATACAACAGCAGCAGCCTGCCAGGGCTAACCCTGGCGAACCTCATCTGGCTCACACGCTGGTTATTGACCATCACTGCTCTGCACCAAGGCAATTGCCTCCTAGAGGTGTGGGCTGGGACAGGACCTACAGGGTACAGTGAGGCTTCATGTGAAAAACCAGCTGTGAAAGTGTAGAAGCTTATTTTTGTCCAGTGGTGTTTGGACAGGCCTGAGCCTCCATATGAACATACCCTGCTTCCAGGGCTAGGAGCTGCTTTTTCCTTCCTTCCTTCCTAGCATTCTGAACAGCCCAGCCTAGGGGCCCGCTCGTGTCTTCCCTGGGAAAGCCAGAGCTGTAGAAGAGATGTAATGAACCAGTGGAATCCCGCCTACAGTGAGCACTCAGTGTAGGAGGCCCTGCCTGGAGCAGACAGCAGAGCCTCTTGTTCCAGAGGGAGCAGCTATCCCACTAATTGGAATGGCACTTCCCCTGAGCCAAGTGGGAGTTGCTTTTTAGTCAGTGCTGCAGCATTGTGCTAGTGTTCAAACCGGCAGCACAGCAGTCTCCAGGGAAGAAGACTACTAACCATTCAGTCCCTCCCCTTCTGCAGAAGAGGAATGGCAAACTGCCAGCCCCACCAAGAGAGAAGCTGAGGGCCTCATTCTGTGCACAGCTCATGACTCTTTTTTGGGACAGTCTTTCAACCACCATACAGCACATGAGCTTGTACACAGCAACAGCATCTGTCTGTGAGTAACGAGGCTGCCTCTTCTCATTACAGGCAGGCACTGGAGAGAGAGAGAAGCCTGCTCATGACCAAAGCTGAAACCTATGGTAAGGCTGTTTTTAAAAATAGCCAGTGTGTGTGTGCAGCTCATGTTCCCAGTTACAGTCCTGCTCCACACTTTGATTTGCCTTCGAGTTTGGACTCGGCAAAAATTGACTTTGGGGGAAAAGCTGAGGCAGATCTATTCAGCTACTTTTGATCTGAGAGTTGGATCCTGCCTCCGAAATCCCATCGAAGGCAGCACAGCGATTCAAACATTCAGTGCCACTGAATCTTCTTCTAGATGCACAGTAAAAAACAATCAGGGAGGCTTCTGCTCTCATGAGTGCCTGTCCCACCACTAATGGAATATGTACCAGTCTGTCCCTGTAGAGCAGTGATTCCCAAAGTATGGGGCACTGGGTCAGCAGATGCTGGGGAGTTCCCTGCAGAGGGATTTCCCAGACAGCCACAGGAGCTCCCCAGGAGCTGCTGAGGAACGCCCCCCTGCAGAGCTCCCCAGCAGCTGTCGGTGAACTCCTTCCCTGCCCAGCTCCGCAGCAGCTGCTGGGCGGTCACTGGCATAAATTGTTTTTCCCAACTGCGTCTCAAGAAAAAAGTGTGAAAACCACTGCTGTAAAGCACGTAAGCCTGTGCTGACGCAGCTGCAGTACCTTGGGACTTAAGTTCCCTCTAAGCTGCGTGGCCGGGCAACAGTGCATCAAGGGCCTCTCTCCTAGCCTCAGAGTTGCTGCTGGAGGAATCCTCTCTCCCTGCCACAGCCCCCACCCCAAATCCCTCATCTCTGGCCCTACCCCTTGCTGAGCACTTCCATGGGAAAGAGGAGGAAACACTGCTCAGCGCTAGAGCCAGGTAGAGGAATGCTGTGCATCTGTCAACATGACTGGGAGGCAGAGCACCCTGCCCCCCCCCCTTTACCTGTCACCCAGTGAGCTAAAATGAATGTGGCATAGCCTGACTCCCTCAAGCATACTCTAGGCATGCCCCATGCCTGGGCAGCAGTTACTCAGACACTCCTCCCCCATCACCTGCTTTGTATGTGGTGCAGTCCTCTTCACTTTCTAGTCCAGTCTCCAGCAGGGAAGTGTATTCCTCTTCCCTCTCTGGGTACTCTGCGGCATTAGGCTGCCCCCTGCTGGCAAAACTGAGCTGAGTGAGCTTTACACAAACCCCCTCTTAAACATCTCATCAGATTCTGAGGGGAGAGTTAGATTTGTCTGAATCTGAGGATTGAGGGCCTGATCCTCAAAGGGGGCTGAGTGACTTTTCCATCTGTGTTCCCTGGAAGCAGCATGCATGCACAGCCATGCAGGAGTCACATGCCACCCAGCAGAATGGCTGTGTCTAGACTGGCCAGTTTTTCTGGAAAATCAGCCACTTTTCCGGAAAAACTTGCCAGCTGTCTAAACTGGCCGCTTTAATTCTGAGGATTGAGGGCCTGATCCTCAAAGGGGGCTGAGTGACTTTTCCATCTGTGTTCCCTGGAAGCAGCATGCATGCACAGCCATGCAGGAGTCACATGCCACCCAGCAGAATGGCTGTGTCTAGACTGGCCAGTTTTTCTGGAAAATCAGCCACTTTTCCGGAAAAACTTGCCAGCTGTCTAAACTGGCCGCTTTAATTTCCGCAAAAGTACTGACGATCTCATGTAAGATTGTCAGTGTTCTTGCGGAAATACTATGCTGCTCCCGTTCAGGCAAAAGTCCTTTTGCGCAAAACTTTTGCGCAAAAGGGCCAGTGTAGACAGCAGAGATTTGTTTTGTGCAAAAAAGCCCCGATTGTGAAAACGGTGATTGGGGCTTTTTTGCGCAAAAGCACATCTAGATTGGCATGGATGCTTTTCCGCAAAAAGTGCTTTTGCGCAAAAGTGTCCGTGCCAATCTAGACGCTCTTTTCCGTTAAAAGCATTTCTGGAAAATCATGCCAGTCTAGACGTAGCCAATGTGTTTAG